AAAGGTAAATTGTAGGATGTAGACTGGTATGTCTTAAATAAATATCTTAATTTGACAACAACATGACATTTATAAAGAGCGGAGCAAAGTGATAGTCATTTAAGAACCAAGATTTCACATGTTCTGTGTGTTTTCTGAGAAGTGCATGCCAATAAAGTATGCAAAGTGGGATTTAGGTGTGCGTGGTTAAAAGTACATAAATAGGTTTAAAATGGTGTTAAAACCGTGTGACATTTTGTGCAAGGGTGTGATTATGCAGGTATGATAATGATGCTTTTGAGCATTGTTAGTGTCTGACGCTTGCTTGGTTTGTTTAACTAATTAAATAATTAATCATTTCATTACCTATTCATTTATTTGTTCGTATATTTACCCGCTTCATCAGTCACTCATTGAATCACGTAATGTGTTACAAAGCCTTGAATATCACCATATGTTAATTATATTTTTCGGTCAGGTGACAGTTCACAGCTATGAAACATTAGTATTATTTTTGTTACACTATTATTATTCATAACTCCTGCTGCATTTGGCTATTTTTTCATCGAGGCAAGTGTCTGTCTGACAAAGAGTCCCATCTGCAGACAGAGATTAACATTTCTAAATTTTACTAAGTACTTTTAATGGCCCTTAAGTACAAAATGGACCTCATTATGTTTGAGTAAAGGGTCATGCATACATTACTTATCTGGTATCTTTTATTCGAAAAGAGTGGCTTTAATACAAAAGCTGCTCTTCAACAAATATTCAAACATGCGCCACTACACGGTCAAGCAGATGGATCGGTGAGCAGTTCAAGCGACTAAGTTATGAAGCAAATAAGAAAGTGATTGACAACTGCAGAGTCTCTGATATACGAAGGGAATCCCAAAAGCAAGGTCTTCGTTAGAAAATCACTCTGTTTACTTTCTATAATATCTACATGATTTTTAAGGCTGAAGAATTATTTTCTTTTCTACATAATCACCATTTCGGTCGAAGCATTTTTGTAGATGCTGTGGCGGTTTTAGAATGCCCATGTCATACCAGCTTGCTGCCATGTCCTTCAGTAAGCATTGAACGTCATCTTTGACCTCTTCGTCGGAGCAGAATCGCCTTCCGGACAAACATTTTTGACATCTATGCATGAGTGTCCATACACTTCTGTCAAGTGGCGATGAATTTCAACTGGTTTAACACCTTTGGCATTCTCAAATAACTGCGCGAACTTTGCACTTGGTGGTAGCGTTCAACGGGAGCTCCATTTTCAAGGGCTGCCGAGCCAAGATTGAGCATCCCAGCGAAGCCATGCATGCTTGTTTGGAGGAAGCACCCATCACAACAGTGTGGCCAGCAGCCATACGAACAGTTTCTCTACGTCGCCACTGCTTTGGAGACCTTACTTTTGGGATTGCCCTCATATTCAGTTTGTATATATTCGGGCACTTTAAAAAAACTGACAAATTTATGCAGGGGTTTAATGAAAATAGAACATAAACTTAGCATAACAAAGCAGGTTTCTACTAACTGCAGTTGTGTATTGCACCTCAAGGAGAAAAAAAAGTTGTTGTGCTTGGATATAGTGTACATGGTTGCTCCTTCTTCCTGTCTGTGCGCTCAATGAAAAAAAAATGCAGTGTTTTCTTTTTCATTCTGATGTGCACTGATGTGCGTGCTGAGATCAGTGTATAGAAATGCACAACATATACTCACATCCACATGCGCGCACACAGTACTGCCAGGCCTGGTTTCCTCTGTGAAGTTTCGAAATGTGTTTTTCATCATGGTAACAAGAATACGTACAGGCCGTAGCAGCAGTTACTGTATGAGTTTGCCCACAGAATTGGTATTTTTAGCTATTGAAACATCATATTTTCCAAATATATTATATCTAAAAGTTAATACAAGTAATTTTCTTCTTTCTTCTGAGCATCACGGGGCTGTTTCGTTTTAATGTGGTCTTGGCTGTAATGTTTTAGTCTATTCTGTTGCCTTGTAAAGCAAAATGCAACAATGTAGTCTTGGTCACGCATAGATTCAGCCTAACTTTAACACTGTTATCTTTTCTACCAGAATATGTGTGATTCTAAAAGCTGCACATCTTTCTTTTCTCTGTTCTCTTCTGCTAAATTTGATCTGATCTCATTGTCTTTTCAAGCCCATCCCTTCTTTAAGTTCAGTTCTAGTTTTCTTTCATATGATTTGCTTTTCTCTTTGATGGCTCTGCTGTGTTGATCGTTTCTGTTCTGTTCTGTTACTTTCTGTTACTTTCCTGTTATTTGCTACATTTTTAGTATCTCTGCATCAGGTGCAATGAGTGACAGTTATTGGTCTGGTGTCAGTGGTTCAGGCTTAGGCGTTACCTCTGTTTAAGGCTGATCTCATTTCCTGCACACTTCCTCTGTGGGGTTAACGGCTGGCAGACTTGTGCACATCCTGGCTGAGGTACATAAGAGGGAAAAAAACAGTCATGGCAGCTAACAAGTGGAAAAAGATACATTCCAGCAATTAATTGGACATTGCAGTCATAATATACTATTACACACTTAATTGTCTCTTACAATTATTTAAGCCTGAAAATATGTACTGGTGACATTTTTTTAATTAATTAATAAATTGCAATTACGTAGTGAGAGGTATTGACCAACAAAACATAAAACTTCAATAAAATCATTCCGGTTTTGGAATAAATTCATGTGATAGGGTAAATATAGCTGTTGCCCTACTTATTTTATTTGATAATTATTTGATGTCAAGCATGTAATTTAAACATTAGTGAGTTTTGTCCTCAAATAGTTTCATTCTTGGCCTGAAACTGTGAAACAAGGACAGCAATTCAACTGACACCTTGCGTGCAGTTAAACATGCGTGCTTGTACGTGTGTTCATCTGATAAGTCGGCTGTGTTTCTCGGCTCTTTACCAAATTAAATTAAAGTTTAAAGCACAGCTCGTGTTTCAAATACCAGTTTGCATGAATGAGGACACAGATGAAAGCTAACTTAAATTATGTCCATAACTTCCTAAGTATCTAATGAATTTATTTTAGTTTTTCTTAAATAGATACTGTGTAACACTACTGAATATTCAATGAGGTATCGTTCAATGGTACAGTGTAATATACCATTTGGACCGTAATGATAGTCCCAAAGTCTTTGTTTTTCCTGTCTGGCAGACAGACTAGGGGCCTTGAGCAGAAGAAGAGGAAGTGCGATAAACTGTAGGTGGAAAATATGGTGGGTGAACAAGTGAGGCGGGGGGTCGCATGTGACGAGGGAAGCTGGTGTTAGTAACCGCATGCAAAGATAGAAGGAGAAAGATAGGCCGGCCTCGAAGTTCGTCCCTAAGCGAACCCTGCTCTGGTATTTCACATGCTCTATGCTGGCTGAAAATGGACATTCTTATATAAAAAACACTTTTTTTCTACTCTTTAGCCATGGCAGTGGAGTTATGGGACAGGATGATGTAGCTAAAGAACCTCTAAAGAACTTCTGGATGGATTGACATAAAATTGTGCGTTGAGTTGCCATGGCGCTGCGCTGAGTAGGAGCCTGCTGCAGCATTTTATAGTATAGGGATTTTTGACTTCATATTTGGTACTGCGATATGAACTTGTTGTTTTTATATTGGCCCTATGAGGATAAAGAACTGGTCAATAAGCATATTGTAAAAGCAAGCCTACGCCTAGGTTTCCCTACCCTATGAGTTAAAAGTCACCTCCGATCAAACTCAAATCAAATTACAGACGTGAGATATTTTTCATCTAAAGTCACCACCATCATTATCGCAGCATACTGAACGAGCTGCTGAACTCTAAACTATTTAAAGAGCTTTAAGATGCAGATGTGGAAGGAAAAATAATTACCTCTCTTCTCTCTTTTCTCTCTGAAAGCAGAGGAAGAGGCACTTGGTTCTGTACCTCTGAGCATTCCCAGACTGCTGGTATTCTCATATGAAAAGGAAAGCTTCATATTTTCACAAGTCTCCTGAGTGATCATTAAAGTTCTTTATGTTATTTTAGATTTTTTTCTCAAAACAATGCAATATTCATTGATAATCTATGTTGTGACGATGAAAGTGGAAGTCTTTAGATGTTTTGCAGTGCTGGACATACTTCTCCAGAGTTTTACATATTGTATGAATAGATGTTCTTAATGTAGTATTTGTTCCCTTGTGGTTAAATTGTAAAAACTACTTCTTGAGAGTTAAAATGCACATATATAGAGAGTATATATGTGAATACACTGTTGGAACTTTTCCTAGATACACTGTTCAACAAAGAATTTGCAATGTAAAGATATAAAGAGGGAATTTTGTCACCTTTCACCCGTGTGTTTGTGTGCATGTGGATTGTCACTTGCCGAGTGCATGTTATTACATGTGAGTCGCTCCCTTTGAAACTACTTTCTCTTCAGATCAGTGTAAGGGCAGACAAACACACATGTGCACACACGCACAAAAACACAGGCGTGCGCACAGAAACAATAGTGACTTTCATCCCAGTAAGTGACTCGACATCAACGGGCTTTTAGCGTGTTTTACCAGACTAGCACAGGTTAGTGGCTATGATTGTTGTGACATCCACCACTTCTGAATGTTTCACATAAAATCCACAGTGATGTTCCTATAGCATACAGGAAATGCCACACTGAGGCCCTTTTCCCTTTTAATTACAGGCCCTTGTGCAGACATATTGTTTTTTTTTAAAAAACAGATTTACAAAAAAGCATTTAAAAAGTGCTTTCATTGTTTTTTTTCTTTATTTCCATACAACATATTAATAACACAAAAACAGATTGTTATCAAACTTTATTTTGCAGTCGGAGATACAATGAGCTGCGAAATGTAACTCTTACAGATGTGATTGCATATTCCCAGCTTCTAACTCGAACCGCTACATGATACCCGTATTTTTAAAATCAAATTCTAGCAGTTTAAGGCGATGACGAACAGCTATATATGAGGACTTTTAGTGATGCAAATGCTCAAAATGTTTCACAAAAGTTAATATTTATCACTGGCTGCTTTCATTCTTGTTTTTTCCATCGTGCTGTCCTTTTTAACCTCACCCGTCTTCTTCAGTTTCCTGTAAGCTTCTGTGTAGATCTGCACTGTGCAAACACATACATAAGAAACAGATATAAGAATTTTTAATTTTAGTGCATTTAGTCTTTATGGATAAAAGTTTCAATTAATCCAAAAGGGTAAAAGAAGGCAAATATCTTCTTCTTCTCTCCCTTTAGTGGTTGCCACTTTCTCACCACTGAAAATCTTAGGAATACAATTCTGCTGCCGCCTCCTGTTTTCTCAGTGACACGGTCTCCAAATCATACATCATAGCAAGTCTCACTAATATCTTGTAAACCTTCCCTTTCACTCTGGCTGCTGTCTTTCTGTCACAAATCACAGCAAACACTCGTCTCCACCCACCCCACCCTGCCTCCACTCTCTTATTCACCTCTCTTGTGCACTGCTTGTTCTCTGGAATGGTGAACCCCTAGTGTATAAACAACCTTACCTTCACTATCTCTTTCTCTCCTTGCATCTTCACCTTTCCACCTGTCTCCCTCTCACTGTGACACATGAAATGTTGCGCTTGTACTCCTGTTCTTCCTCTTCTCACTGGTGAAAACCTCCACCTCTCCCAGCTCTCTTTCACCTGTTACCTAATCTCACTACACATCACAATTCTTACCGATGATCTGCATGTTTGCGACTCTTCAGACAAGAGGAGGTATGTTTGTGGCCCCCATGTGGCTGGGTTTTAACAAAGCAGAAATATGATGGGTAAAAACAACAGTTGCTATCTTTCGTTGAAATATTTTGGTTACCTTGAGTAACAGGTATTGCATCAAATCACCACAGATGCTTAACATTGCCCCTTTAGCAACAGAATTCTTATAACAGGACTACCACATAGCACATACGTTTATAGTACATACTACTATGATGAGATATTTGTTTGAAACTGCTGGAATATCAAGTTAATTTTTAACCTCCTAAGACCCAAACTCTTCCACGGCATGCATTTTTAATTTCTCTTTGATAGTTGGGCATATTGGGGCCCGATTAACGTAAATACAAAGAATTACCAGATCTTTTTTTTTTTACCTTATTTTTGTTTTTAAGAAAAATAAGAGCCACATATGAGGATATTCGTTTAAAAATTTGTAGAGCAAAATAGAGTATATTATGGTCTAAATAACCCAAAATGTGATGTCCACATATGTGGATGGCAGGTCCTAGGAGGTTAAAGGATCCAAACTACCTTTGTGATAACATTCATTGCAGCTCAGATTTGGGCCCCAACAGTGCAACATGCTCTTTCTAAATTTCATAGGTTGCCTTGCTTTCTGCCCTTATCTTTTACCACTAGCTGTCCAAAAAAAAAAAAAAATCCCAAACTGTCACTGTCCTTACCACGCTGTACTGTTACTGGTTGGAAAAAAGCACCAACCACAGGGCCTGCTTTTCTTATGAAGGATCTGCACCGTAGGGTATCTATGCCCAACTGGCGTTGTCGTCACTGAATCAATATTTGGCGCACAGGGGCTGTGACTATTATCTACAGACAAGAATTCAAAAAGAAAGACGCTGGCATTTGAAATTCTGGGAAAGTTATTGTAGGATCATTACTAAGCATACTGGAAAGTGTAAGCTATAGCCTGAAACAAGTCAGAGTTTCGATGTGAAATGAAAAGAGCCTCGTGAATCACTACTCTTTAATACTATGTCATTAAAAAAAAAGAAAAAAAAGAACTGACATATAAATCACTAGATGTCTGTATTATTCCCAGGGGGCATGTATGCTGTGCACAGTCAGGCTGCTTTTCCCCCCAACATGCCAGTCTGGCAGACTTCACATCTGGATCACTGTTATTATCACAGTCATAACATTCAACAGGGCATGGTATTCCAGGCACAATTATACAACTTCCAAAACTGGAAATCAATTTTGGAAATTAAGTTTATGGGTTGTCTATAAGTGCAACATATTTTTAGGCCTAAGAATATGCGATTAACAGACAACAGCACTCAGCATGTCTGTACCACATGTAAAAAGTTGAAATATACCATAAGTATACCTAAACGCAAAGGATGAGTAGCTTAGATATATAGTTACAGTACTGACTCCCATAAGATTCACTATGCAAGTGTAGTATAAGATAAGAATTTATACTGATAATAGGGGAATTAAGTGCTATCTTCTTAACTGTAGCCACATGGGAATATATTGTGAAAAAAAATAAAGACAGCTATTATGGATTTATCCTACAACATTAATTAGACAAAATTAACTCCAGAATGGATCTCTTATACGCCAGACAGTCAGACAGTCCAACTACTATATATTACTGTGTGTCATCTAGCAGTGAACACTTTAGCTGTGATTCACCATGACATATCTAAACAGCCACTCTGTCTCTTCTACGCACATACACACACAGACACACAACTACAAAGAACAGTTGTGCTAGCATGTATTCCTGCACAGTTCTTAAAATGGAACAACTGTTCACACTTCATTGCAGTAGCCTCAGCTTATCAAACGCATAATCACCGTCTTTATCTGAGCTACTGATGTGTCACAACAACACAATGGAAGAAATGTTACCATCCAGCATATGAATGTCTGGTCATCTCTGTACAGTGTTTGTACTGTCATCATCATCATCATCTTCTTGGCCATGCAAGACCAACAGCAGCCTTAAACGCTCTGTTTCTTACTCACATCATTGGTCTAAACAATTAAAATCAGCCAACGCAACAGTCAATTCAAGTCATACAAAGGTGATGTTGAAAGGCGAGTAAATGAAGGGTTGTGAAGAAAAAAACCCACATTGTGATAAAAGGAAAAGAGTAAACGACAAAGAAAGAATCAAATAAAATAACATCCCAATCCTGATCCTGCCTTATTCCCTGGCTCACTTCCTCTCTTGTTCTGCTCTTTCATTTTCAACTCATTTTGCTGGCTCACTTCTTCCTCCAACACCCCCTCCATTCTTTCTGTCACTCTCTCCCTCCATGAGCAGACAGGCAGAGACAGGGAGACTGTTGTTGTGCTTGCAGTCTGACACTATCAGCTCATAAATCCCTGTCAGCAGCTTGTATGCCTCCTCTCCTCTCTCCCTCCCCGTCTCTTATCCTCCCTCCCTTCACTGGTGGAGAAACAGAAGAACCCAGTGACCTGCCAGTGAAGGTTTGACTGGCACAACCACACACACATTTAGAGAAATATATATATAGAGCATATACAGTATATACAGATATATAGATAGTCAGACAGACAAGCAGACAGACAGACATCTCTGATTCTCATGCCTCCCCTCGACTGTCTCTCTTTTGCTAGGTTCCTTCCTCCCTGTCTTTCTTTCCCTCAGGCAATGTTTGCCGGCAGACAGTCGTCACTGACAGGAGCTTCCTGTGGTTAGGGGTAAACACCTGGGTAATGAGGCCATGCTGCACAACAACCCCAAAAAAAGCAAAACAGATTCACAGACCTCACTCACTCTGCCGAGTACTGTAGACTCACAATCGGGTCACGCAGCCACACAGGGTCACACGCGCAGTCACACATGCAAATAAATCTCACGGGAAAACAAGCACAGACATGAACACATTTAAGCACATACACAACCGCACATGCACATAACTGGTTCAGACTGAAAAACAAGAATCTAGACGGAGTGGACATGGATTCAAGAAGGTTCTACTTCTGTGCCGTCACTAGTGATTTGTTCCTCAAATGCAGAAACAAATCCTTGTCTAAGTCATGTCAGCGAAACACTCAGTCAGGATTTTTGACATACTGCAAATGCTCAAACTGAGTGTGAAAGGTGAGTGCTGCTGCAGGGAAGAACAGAGCTGCCTGTCTCGACTGCAAAGTCACAAAAGGACTTTTCCACTACAGGCAAGTTATTGGCCCACACCTGAACCTGTGCCAGCTGTCCAAAGTGCTGCCTTTGTCACTCCAGCATTCTTGCAGCCTACAGGAGATGGTACAAGCTGAAGTTTGGTGGGTGGTCACAGGACTGCGCCGATTTTTTTTGTGTGTCTGTGTGTGTCTGCTTTCGTGTGACGAACAGACACATCATCACCACTCAAATATAAGTGCCTATCTGTCTAACTGTGAGTTGACTGTAGGGGGAGCAGTAATACATCGTATTTCTGCAAGTTTGTGTCTTGCTTGCTCAGCAAGGGTCAGATAAATTGCTGGTATTTTTTATTACTGACAGATTCTGTTGTTCATGGAGTTCTAGTGGGAAAAAACAGCTCTTTGTCACTAGTTTTTGATGAACCTTGAAAAGAAGGATTCAGTGACCCACCTCTTACACTTTTTCACATATCATATAAGACTAGATAAATAAGTGTGGAAGAGCTGCAACAGAGGAAATTACATTTATAAGTATGACAAATGTCCCTGTTCAACATGGGCCATAAGCAAAGACACAAGGACACATCTCTCCAGATTACAACTATTCTCGGAGAATACTGAGCCACTTCATGTATATTTAAAAAAGCTTTGATTTACAGACGTACATTTAAATGCATCCTGGATGGGAAACACAAAAACCCATCACGTGACTGGGTTGGGCAGCAAGCACAGTATATTTGTTTTTCCCCATTCCTCAAATTTTCACTCTTCTTATGAAAAAAAAATGAAGATGCACTCATATTCAAAGCTCTGAGGCAAAATAGACAATTTCCCTATCAGCTGTAACCAATACTTCATTTTCATGCCACTCTTGCTTTTTACATTGTGCTTTTATCCAAATTGATTTTGTCACAACAGAATTACATCTTACTGCTCCACTCCTTCAAAATATTGTGCAAGTATCAAAGCCTCAAGAATCTTCCATGTCAAAAGCACTAGAGTGCAAATGATTCACTCAGCAATCATGTTAATCTGTTATCTCTGGACAACAAGGCGCAGCCTGCATCGCATGTCTCATAGAAGTAACAGGGAAGCTTGTGGTGAATCATCAGTCCTACCAGACCCGCACGGTCTTAAGGGTTGCTTTAGTTTTGAGGAGGATTTTTTTTCTTCTTCTTTAATGGTCTTCATGCAAGCTATTTTAGATATGGTTCAACTGAGCAAAAACACCATGTGTATTGTATGGTAGTATCTGGGTTTGCATATGTCTGTACGCGCACGCTTGTGTGGCCCGCATGTCTTTGTGTGCAAAGGAAATGGCTGACAGTGAAAAATGTGACCAATTCTAATTTTAATTGCCGCGTGAAAAAACAGCCTCTGCATTTGTGGGTTCTGTCCAGACGAACAGAGGAGAAGGGGTTTAAGCATGAAAGCGTATTCCTTATCACAATTAAAAAGTGTTTTAACATACCGGCATCCCTTTGAAGTTAGATTAGCAGCAATATTGGAAAGATCAGCCCCAGTCTTAAACAATGGAAATTGAATAGGGGAAAAGAAATGACTTAACAGAGCCAAAGGTAAAGTTTTCCTTTTGTTGTTCATCTTTTTTCCCCCCTTGAATTTGGCCTCATACAATTTTCTGATAGATTCTCTTGTGCAGAGCGACTCTTTTTTTTTAGTATTATTATTATTTCTTTTTTAACATAAAATTGCTTCATGTCCAACCTAGGGAATGGATTGAGGGGACTACGGCAGAAAAGAAGAAAACTTAATTTGACAGCGCAATTTGAATTGGAGATCCTTCTTAGAGGATTTGAAGCCTGGAGTGACAGACGAAATTGTACATAGGCACAGCTAAGAACTGTAATCACAATAAGCCCATATAAGCGTCTTGATTGTAAGGGTCTGAAGCCACACGGTGGCTGTCTTGTGGAGCAGCAATCTACATGCAGAAGCGCACAGTGGAAGACACACACATCCACATGCAAATACACAACAACAGCTATGGACTTACAAGTCAAAATTCCCATCAATACAAGAAAAAGCCACTCCTTACATAAAGACATGGAAACCCATGGGAAGACACAAGGGCTGGAACTGAGAACAGTGTAATTAGAGAGAAAGAAAGATAGGTTAACCCCAGGCACAGAGGCAGAAAGGGAGAGAGAGGGGAGGAGAGGTGACAAGGTTGAGAAAAGTCCCATGTTAACCTGGAAGAAAGAAAACAGGAACAAACGGGGCAAAGAGGAGCAAACAGCTGCTAAGGATTTACATGCCGTAAATTATTTATGCAATCAGCTGTAGGAGCACAGAAACAGAGAGAGAGAGAGGGAGGCAACAGAAAAAATAATCAGGGTTGCAGAAAAGAGAACAGGGGGTGAAAACTGAGAGACGTAGACACGTCTTTGCCGTAAGTTACAACAAAGAGAAAATGCTACACTTACCCTCACACTCCTGTCTAGACACAGCAATCTTTCCCACTGAGCCTCACTCTGACACACCTGAAACAAACAGTAACACTGTTTACCTACACATGTTACTCTCCAGTTACACGCAAAGCTTCAGATGTCTGCTTCCAGGCTATGAATGACAATGCGGCGTGCTACACGAGATGATTTTACGTCATCTCTGAGACGGTTCTCTGTGAGTTTGAAGTCTAAACGCCAAACCTTTATTCATCTTTCTGAAGATTTCTTTACATGTCTCCTAATGCATGTGAGTGCCTATGATCTATATCACAAGCCAAACAACCCATGAAACAAACTTACTGTGCCTCTACTGAACTGTGCATTATTAAATTCAACCTACAGCAGGTTCAGTTCAATTCAATTTTATTTATGTATTTTTTAAATTTGCTGTATGTTCCTACTGCAGGTGCTAATGATTCACTGTTACTGTGCTGCCGTGTATGTTTAACATTATTTACACACTGACAGCACTTCAATACGAACATCTGCTCCGCATTTACATAAAACACTGTAGTTAGCTTCCAGTCTTGACATTTTTTACACAGTATATATATTTAGCTTAAATTACAGCAGCTAAACAGCAGCTAAACACTGTAGCTTATACAGTCCTTAAATATTCTGGTTAAAAACAGCCTTGTAGGCTGTATTCTGAGTATTATTGTGTGAGAATAATAATACAGTGTGTAAAACCCAATAGCAAAAGTATGAAGAGAAACATACATCAAAATTAATTTCAAGAGCCTCTTAACTTTCTGCAGGACTCAGAATGAAATATTTACTAAAAGAAACTGAAAAGGACAAACTGTATATATTTACTTTTTTTTTTTGCAGTGATTTAGTAATTTAATGACACTGTCAGTCTTAAACTACAGCACTGCCTATTAAATTCTACCATAAACTATGGCACATAGAGTACATCTGAAATACCACATAAAACTAACAGCATCACTGCACCCATTGCACTCGCTCTGTGCTCACTCGTACACTGTGACGCCCAGGAGCTTTTTGAGAAGATGCTGATCCACAAATTCCCATGGGTTTGGTGGAGTGGACCGGAGCCAGTGGAAATTGCAAACAAACACTGGGGCTGCTGTGTCTGATGTGAGCAAAAACAACCTCAAAGACCTCATTCACACATCACATCTGTGCGTGTGCGATTGTGCATGTGTTGGGAAGTTCATGAAGAAAAGTGGGAAAAAATGGGAGCAACTGTGCGTGTATCTGTGTGTGTGTGTGTGCGTGCGCGTGTGTGTTTATGAATCTGAGGACTTGAAGGCTGTTCAAAGGCATTACAGCATTAAATTTATGAAGGCATTCACAGTAACACTGGCAATAAAATAGATCTCAGCTCCTAGCAAAAGTTCATATTAGGTCTTACTGTGGCAGGAGAGAGTGGGAAGGAGGAAGAGCGCGCG